ACCATAGTTGTGCCAGAATTGAACGGGTTTGCCTAGAAAGAATCCTCTCACCATGGCATAATTACAGAAGGTAGTCTCATTTGAGAATTTTATGATGGCAACCCTTTTTAATTTGGAACTCATTTATCCATGGTATAATTATTACCAGGTTGGGTACAGCTACCAACTGATTACAATTTTTTATCAAGGTGGCTTGTTCCATCAAATTAAAATACATATTTTGTGTATGTGGGTGTATTGTTTTAAATACTATGTCAAATAAATTCAAAATAAATTGAAATATATTCAAATTTAATTGAAATAAAAATTATGTTTTTGTTTAAACAAACATTTGATGGTATTCCCTACTGGATTTTTCGCGTTTTTAGTTTTGTGCTGAAAAAAAATTTCAAACAAAACAAAAACACTTGTTGCGTATATTTATTTTATTTTTGGCAGAAGAAGCCACACGTGCATAGTTGATTTTTTGTTATTCACCTCAAGCTGCCCTACCTTGTATTATTGTACCATGGTACAATATGTGTTTCCCCCTTAAGACTGTTACACCAACAACAATTTCCTGATCCCGCTTCTGAAGCCAACAAGGATGCCAGCGGAGGTGAATCGTACAGACCGATTTCCCTTCTGTCTACAGTAGCAAAAACGTCTGAGTCTCTACTTCTTTCTCTGAAGAGTTCCCCGTTTGCCAACATCACGCGGATTCCGGATGATGCACAGCATAACAGAAGCCTTACATGTCATAACTACAATTTTAGTGGATGTTGACTTATCGAAAGCCTTCGATACTGTCAAGCACGCTAAACTTCCCGTACTGCAAGTATCTGTTAATTTTTACTGCGATAACGAATTCTCCTTTGTGATATCGAAGAAAATAGTAAAATCTAGTAGATGTTTGCAGTACGGGAATAGACCATAGATGTGTCGTCGCCAGTCATGTAGAATGAAACAGGAAGTTCCGGCTAAAATAAAGTTCCCGCTGAACATCATGGTCGATGGTGCGAAATTTTAGACATCTAGCTCAAAATGATGGGTGTAACGTTCGATAACTTATTTAATTGCCCGCATGGGTTGCCTTGGGAAGCCTTGTTTGCGAACGTAACGAAGATTATTCAAACCTCCCCTGTGAACTGCGACAGGAGGCACCCAAGGAGCAGCATATCTCCGGCATTGTTTAGCCGTCAACTTTTTAAAATTCCTCAACCACCGGACGGCATAGATAGCACAATGTAGGCGAATGATACGATGACGACATCGGTTCCCATTATGGATGACATTTGCGAAAGTTCTTCCATCTTTTCACCACACGTACGGCTGAAATAAAGCACCCGATTAACTCTATTGTCGATTGCGCCCAAATTTCGACCTCAAACCCAAAATGTTGGGAGTAACGCTCGATAGCTTATTTAAATCGTCTACATGGGTTGCTAATAAAGAAGCCTTGTTTGCGAACGTAACAAACCTCCCCTGTGACAGTGTGCCATCAGTGGACCATTTACCTGACACAACAGGATGTTATTTTCGGCAACATCCATGCCATCACCTTATGGGTCGGGTGGTGGAATCCGACTGAAAGATATACACGCCGTAGAGAGAGACAGAGGTCCCAGCGAGCAGTAATGAATTTTATTTGGGACCCTATAAAAAAACTAATTCCAAATTTAGAGCTTTTTTAAGTTATGGACGATAAAAGTTTGCTTTGAATTCAAGTTATGAAGCCTGAAGCATGCTATGAATAGGATACATTAATTTTTTATACCCTTCACCACACTGTGGTACAGGGTATTATGTCTTTGTGCATATGTTTGTAACAGGCAAAAGGAAACGAGATAGACACATGGTTCCTTTTGAGAATATGTATAGAATCACTTTCTAAGTCGATTTATGCATGTCCGTCCGTCTGTCTGTCTGTGCATGTTAAATTGTAAACAAAGTACAGGTCGCATTTATGATCCGAATTGGATGAAATTTGGCATAGGTCACTTATTCGGCCCAAGGACGAACCCTATTGAAATTGGGAAAAATCGGTTCAGATTTAGATATAGCTCCCATATATATATTTAACCGATTTAATGTAAACGGTCCCTATATATCTTCCGATTTCCACGAAATTTGGTACAGCCTAATCATTTAGGTCAAGAATGATGTCTGCCAAGTTTCGTGAAAATCGGTCCAGATTTAGATATAGCTCCCATATATAGTTTCGTCCGATTTCATGTAAATGGAGCCCCAAAGTCCCTATATATCTTTTTATTTGCACGAAATTTGGCATAACGTACTGAATTAAGCCTAGAGTGTTGTCTGCCGAGTTTCGAGAAAATCGGTCCAGATTTAGATATAGCTCCCATATATAGTTTCGTCCGATTTCATGTAAATGGTGCCCCAAAGTCCCTATATATCTTTCGATTTGCCCGAAATTTGGCATAACGTACTAAATTGAGCCTAGAATGATGTCTGCCAAGTTTCGTGAAAATCGGTCCAGATTTAGATATAGCTCCCATATATAGTTTCGTCCGATTTCATGTAAATGGTGCCCCAAAATCCCTATATATGATTCGATTTGCACGAACTTTGGCATAACGTATTGAATTAAGCCTAGAGTGATGTCTCCCAAGTTTCCAGAAAATCGGTCCAGATTTAGATATAGCTCCCATATATAGTTTCGTACGATTTCATGTAAATGGTGCACCAAAGTCCCTATATATCTTTCGATTTGCACGAAATTTGGCATAACGTACTGAATTGAGCCTAGAATGATGTCTGCCAAGTTTCGTGAAAATCGGTCCAGATTTAGATATAGCTCCCATATATATGGGAAATGGTGCCCCAAAGTCCCTATATATAATTCGATTTGCACGAAATTTGGATAACGTACCGAATAGAGCCTAGAATGATGTCTACCAAGTTTCGTGAAAATCGCTCCAGATTTAGATATAGCTCCCATATATAGTGTCGTCCGATTACATGTAAATGGTGCACCAAAGTCCCTATATATCCTTCGATTTGCACGAAATTTGGCATAACGTACTGAAATGAGCCTAGAATGATGTCTGCCAAGTTTCGTAAAAATCGGTCCTGATTTAGATATAGCTCCCATATATAGTTTCGTCCGATTTTATGTAAATGGTGCACCAAAGTCCCTATATATCTTTCGATTTGCACGAAGTTTGGCATAACGTACTGAATTGAGCCTAGAATGATGTCTGCCAAGTTTCGTGAAAATCGGTCCAGATTTAGATATAGCTCCCATATATATGGGAAATGGTGCCCCAAAGTCCCTATATATAATTCGATTTGCACGAAATTTGGATAACGTACCGAATAGAGCCTAGAATGATGTCTACCAAGTTTCGTGAAAATCGCTCCAGATTTAGATATAGCTCCCATATATAGTGTCGTCCGATTACATGTAAATGGTGCACCAAAGTCCCTATATATCCTTCGATTTGCACGAAATTTGGCATAACGTACTGAAATGAGCCTAGAATGATGTCTGCCAAGTTTCGTAAAAATCGGTCCTGATTTAGATATAGCTCCCATATATAGTTTCGTCCGATTTTATGTAAATGGTGCACCAAAGTCCCTATATATCTTTCGATTTGCACGAAATTTGGCATAACGTACTGAATTGAGCCTAGAATGATGTCTGCCAAGTTTCGTGAAAATCGGTCCAGATTTAGATATAGCTCCCTTTTATTATAAATCGATTTAAGGTAATTGACGCACCAAGGAACCAATAGGCTGATAGGAACAAAACGTTCTGAAATTAATATAACCTAAGCTGTGACAAGTTTGTTTGAAATCGCTTAATATTTGGATAGAGCTTCCATATATATTTTCGCCCGATTTCAAGTAAATTGGACATCAAACTCCTCATGTTAGTCAGATTGACATCAAATTTTGCACAACGTATAAAATTGAGCACAGAATTACTTAGTTGCGTTTTGTAGAAGTACAGACATAGGACAACAGATGACCTATTTATATTTGTTTGAAGTCGATTTACATACTTTTGTCCCATTGTAACATACGAATGACATGTTAATGGATAGATCTAGGTAGATTCACATTTAGATAAATATCACATATTTTATTTCATCCAATTTCATGTTAATAGTCCTGTTTAATATACACGACAGACGAAAGCCTTAATTTGCATTAACAGCCTTAATTCAAATTAACTTGTACATTATCCTCATTTTTATGTGTTGTAAATGCACAAAATCAAACTGAATTTATACTGAATTAAGCAATTTCAATATGGCAATGCTGTAGAAAATAAATTGATTGTTGTCAAAATTGTTTACGTTTATGGAAATAAAAATTAGAAATAAAGGCAAAATACAACATTCCGTCAAATTGGGCGCTGTTTTATCATAATTATAGCTGTTATTCTTCCTATCTGTCATATATTCTTTTCATAACGATGTAATCGTAAAACATATTGTGAACAAATGTCAATATTTTCTTCCTACACACAGACAAACAATAGTTTTGAAACAAAAAACCATAAATACTCTCGTCTGTCAGGGGTAAATATTAATTCAAATTAAGAACTATTTAATGCAAATTAAGGCTGTCGTCTGTCTTTGGTATTACTGGTTTTTAATTTGTATTACAATTGTCATACGCCTATGCTTAATTTGCACTCTATTTTCCTTCACAGCTGATAGAGTTGCCTGTACATCCCTTTTTTCAATTTTCCTTTTCGCATGACATTTTTGCCAAACAAAGGCCTTTATGATCAGCTGTGAAATATGATTACTTCGGGTATTGAGTTACCAAATACCAAAAAGAGACCGCACGTGAAATTAGATTCTATTTTTGGTGTTTATTTTTTGGCTGGAAAATAATTTTGATTTTTTTCTGGCTATTATTAAATTCTGCCAAACTCAAAGGCCAAAAAAATCAAAACTGAAATTTTTTGTGGTACAAATATTGTATAGGAAGGAGAAAATCAGTACAAATTCCCAGTGCAAAAAAGGAAACAAAAACAACAAAAAATGCCAAGCAATAAAAAGCATAATAAAAATAAACATAAAAATAATGCCGGTAACAGTGCCAACAACAACAACAAAACCAATAACAGTCACAGTAGTACAACGACTGCCACCGTTCGTCAATTTGAACAACCAAAGAAATTGAATTTATCCCTTCAAGCCCGTATCGAATTAAAAGATTTGATCGCTCTCCTGCTGAAGACAGTCTATGTGGAGACCTCAAACCCCAAAGAAGAATGGGAACAATATTTGAAAATCCAAGAAATCCTTAAACGTATACAAATCTTGGAACAGCCCCTGAAGGAACAATGTGTGAGCAGCAGTTCGCCAAAGGGTAATCGTCTGGCGAACATTGATAAATTCTATCAATGGGCCAAAGAGAATGGTTTACAATATGAAAATGTTGAAATCACCGAATTTCCCGGTTACGATTTGGGTCTGAAGGCCACCCGTGATATTAAAAAAGATGAAATCCTTTTTGGTATACCTCACAAAATGGTGTTATCGGAGGAGCATGCCGATTGTGCTTTTGTTCGTGATTTCTTTCAGCCATCCAATTTGAAATTGGCATTTTTGTTAATGGTTGAAGCTTTGAAACCGGATAGTTTTTGGAAACCCTATATTGATTTGCTGCCGGAAACTTATAATACAGTATTGTATTTTACGGTGGAGGAAATGACCCAGCTGAAGGGTTCCAACGCCTTGGCGGCTGCCTTGAAACAATGCCGTCTCATAGCAAGGCTTTATGCTGTCATCTATCATTGGCCATCTAGTCAAATACCCATGGCTGATTTTAAGGAACTATTTCATTATGATTTATATAGGTGAGTATATCCAATTATTTATATATACCGAATGTTAATATTTCAAATATAATTAACAGATAAGCAAACAGGTAACAAAGAACCAGTGACATAATGTGCGAGCACACACACACACTCTCCCAAACATATTTTATGTAATTCATAATGATATAAGCGAAAAATAGTTCACCAGAATCATAACAAAGGGTTTCAATACCAAAGAAAGGGCAAAAATCAAAAGGTGTTGATGAAGAACCTATAGATTTCCGAGGACTAAAAATCAATTTTGCCGATTTTACCCAATATTTGTTAAAGGAATTTGGTTTAATTTTGCATATTATATTCCAAGGTGGTACACCACTATTTTGCGCAAAAATTTTGGAAATAGGTCCACATTTTCCTATTGCGTGCACTATTAGATTTCCGTGAACAAAAAAACAATTTTTACGATTTTACTCAATATTTGTTAAAATAATCTGCTTAAATTTTGCATATTGCGTACCAAGGAGGTACACGGCCTCTATGCAAACAATTTTGAAAATAGGTCCTCATTTTAGTATAACTCCCTTTGACGGTACCTATCAATTTCAAGCGATTTTATTATCATTTGGTATTGTAGGTTTATAGTGAGTGGAATACCTCATGATAAAATTTTGTAAAAATCGGTCTGGGTTTTGATATAGATCCCTTTAAACAAACTTCGATTGAAAGCTTTTTACAACTTTAGAGGGGTATTTATGAACCGAAATGGGTCTAATTTGGTATTATGGCTTTACAGTAGGAGAAATACTTCCACACAAAAAATTATGGAAATCAGTCCAGCTTCTGATATCGCTCCCTTTAAAAGTCAACTTCGATTGAAAGCTTTTAGCAGGTTTTATGGGGTATATATCAAGCGATTTGGCTCTAATTTGGTATTATGGCTTAACAGTAGTTGAAGAACCTCATGACAAAAATTTGTGAAAATCGGTCCAAGTTTTTAAAAAGATTTCTTTAAAAATCAACTTCGATTGAAAGCTTTTAGCAGGTATTAAAGGGTATATATGAGCCGATTTTGCTCTAATTTGTTATTACGGCTTTGCAGTAGGTGAAATACTTCATGACAAAAATTTGTGAAAATCGGTCCAAGTTTTTAAAAAGATTTCTTTAAAAATCAACTTCGATTGAAAGCTTTTTCCAGATTTAGAGGGGTATTTATGGGCCGATTTTGCTCTAATTTGTTATTATGGCTTTACAGTAGGTAAAATAGCTCATGACAAAATTTTGTGAAAAACGGTCCAGGTTTTGATATAGCTCCCTTTTAAATTTGCCTTCGTTTGAAAGCTTTTTGCATGTTTACAGGGGTATTTATAAACCGATTTGGCTCCAATTTGGTATTACGGCTTAATAGTAGGTAAAATACCTACTGATAAAAATTTATGAAAATCAATCCCGGTTTTGATATAGCTCCCTTTGAAAATCCACTTCAATTGAAAGCTTTTTGCAGAGTTTTATTTATGAACCGATTTGGATCCAATTTGGTGTTATGGCTTTACAGTCGTTAAAGTACCTCATTCCACAAATTTGTGGAAATCGGTCCAGGTTTTAATGTACCTGCCTTTTAAAACCAACTTCGATTGAAAGCTTTTAGCATGTTTAGAGTTGTATTTATGAACTGATTTCGCTCTAATTTAGTATAATGGCTTTACAGTAGTTGAAGTACCTACTGGCAAAAGATTGTGAAAATCGGTCCAGGTTTTGATATAACTCCCTTTAAAAATCACCTTCGATTGAAAGCTTTTTGAAAGTTTAGAGGGGTTATTATGAACCAATTTGGTTATAATTTAGTATCCCTCCTTTGCGGTAAATAAAATACCTCATGACCAAAATTTGTGAAAATCGGTCCAGGTTTTGATATAGCTCCCCTTAAAAATTACTTTCCATTAAAAGCTTTTTGTCGATTTCAAAGCTTATTTATCAAGCGATTTCATTGAAATTTGGTATGTTGAATTCTCTGGGGGTGGAATACCTCCATACAAAATTTTGTAAACATAGGTTCATATTTTGATATAGCTCACTTTGAACGGTACCTCATATTATAAGCTTTTTTGAGATTTTAAGGGGTAATTATGAACCGATTGGTCTATAATTTGGAATTCCAGCTTAGCAATAGGTACATTATCTCCTTGCACAATTTTGGGAAAATATGTCCACATTTTGTTGTAACTGCCTTTATAAGGTACCTCTGATATAAAGCTTTTTGAAGGGTTTGGAGGATATCTATGACCAGATTTGATTATAAATTGATATTCCGGCCTTGCACTGTGTCGATTACCTTTGAACAAAAAATTGTGAATGTAGGTCCACGTTTTGATCTGACCGCCTTTTGAGCAGTACCTTTGCTTAAACGTCTGGAATGATGGTTTCGTTTTAAAGCTTTTTAAAGTTTTAAACCGAGTTTTTTGTTCCTCCAATTATCTAAATAAATCACATAACCATATTTTTTATTAAACATTTTTATTGAAAATTATTTTTTTTTTAATTTTTATTCTACATTAAATGTAATCATAAGTGTTATATATTAATATTATATATATAAATATACATATAGTGTGTGTATATATTTTGTTTGTTGGTTGGTTGGTTGTTGTTGTCATTGTGTGGGTGAATCTATGAAAATATTAGACAAATTTAGATTTTTCCCCAACAAAGAATTAAAAATTGCAGAATCAAATAACAAAAAAACATAACAAATAAAAATTAAACTAATAAATATAACAATTAAAAATAAAGAAAATAACGATAATTGTTAAAATAATTGCAATAACAAAATTTATATAAAAAATGGAAACAATAATTGTAAATTTATTTTGTATTGAAAAACTTAATAAGATCGGGTTTTAAATAAGTCAATATGTATTAGATTTAATATATATATTTTTTTTAATTTTTTATTTGAAGTTTCAAAATTAAAAAAAACAATTTTTGTAAACTGAATTTCCCATCAAGATTTAAATATTTGTTTAATTTTTTCCCTTAGATTATTGTCACGAAAAATATGCTTTTATGTCGGTCTGTGTGTGTGTTTTTGTGTTAGGGTCTCTAAAATTTTAAACAATTTTTTGTTTTTTATTTTAAAAATATGTTTTTTTTTAATTCTATAAATTGAATTTAATTGACACTAAAGTTGTGTGTCTTTCGTTATTGGTTTGTTGTTGTTGTTGTTCTTATGGAAACCCCTTTTAACAAAATCACCAATATTTTTTTGAGGGGGATTGATTTTGTCTTAATTTTTGAATATAAACTCCAAGGGATTTTAGGGTTTGAACTTCTGAAGACTATTAAGACATATGTAAATAGGCTGTAATTTGGCATTTGAGATTACCAGTGTGTATAATACCTCCTTGCAAAAATTTTTTTATATGGGTCCATTTTTTATTGTAGTTCCCTTTGAACGGAATTTTCGATTTGACTGTAATTTGCTATATAGGGTTCTCAGTGGTTAGAAAATTTCTCTGCAAAAAATTCGGCAAATTGGTCCATGTTTTGATATAGCCACCTTTAAGCGGCATTTCGGATTTAATGCTTTTACGAGATTTTAGGCCACATTCTCTACCGATTCGGTTGTAATTTCATACTTAAGGTTCTTAGGGATAAGAAAGCCTTACAACAAAAAAATTTTTAAAATTGCTCCATGTTTTCATATAGCCCCCTTTAAACGGTACTCCGATCTAAATCCTTTTCAGGGTTATTTGGCTGTATTTATAATTTGGTACTTTGTCTACTCATGGTGTAAAATACCTCTCTATAAAAAATTGCGAATATAGGTCCGCGTTTTCGTATAGCCTCCTTTGACCGATAACTCAATTGTAAATCCTGTTTAGTATTTTAGGGCATATTTATAAACCGGTATGCTTAAAATTTATTACATTGACTTCTCAGGGTGTAAAATACCTCCATTTAAAAAAAATTGTGAACATAGGTCCACGTTTACTTATAGACCCCTTTATACTGCATTTGCGATTTGCAGTTTTTAGCCGATATATATCAAACATTTTGGCTGCAATTTGATATGTAGGGTTCTCCTCCGTACTAAAATTTATAAAATTATGTCCACGTTTTCGTATAGTCCCCATTATGAAGTAGCTCCGATTTGAAGCTCTTTCGAAGTTTCAAGGTATATGTGTGAACCGATTTGGTTGTAATTTTCAATTTTTGTGTTCTCAGGCTTCAGATAACCTCCTTACTAAAATTTATAAAATTAGGTCCACGTTTTCGTATAGTCCCCATTATGATGTAGCTCCGATTTGAAGCTTTTTCGAAGTTTCAAGGTATATTTGTGAACCGATTTGGTTGTAATTTTCAATTTTGAGTTCTCATGCTTCAGATAACCTCCATACAAAAATTTATAAAATTAGGTCCACGTTTATGAAGTAGCTCCGATTTAAAGCGTTTTCGAAGTTTCAAGGTATATTTGTGAACCGATTTGGTTGTAATTTGCTATGTTGTGTTCTGAGGGTGTAGAAAACCTTCTTACAAAAATGTATGAAAATAAGTCCACATTTTGATATAGGCCCCTTTATGAAGTAGCTCCGATTTAAAGCCTTTTCAAATTTTAGGCCGAATTTTGTCAAGAAATTTGGTTGTAATTTGGTATTTCGGTTGCTTAGGGGTTAGAAAACCTACATACAAAAAATTATGCCAATAGATCCATATTTTCATATAGTCCCCTTTATAGGTTATTTCCGATTTTAAGCTTTTTAAAGGTTTTATGTCAAATGCATCAATCGATTTGCTAGTAATTTGGTATTTAGGCTGCTTAGGGGGTTAGAAAACCTTCATATAAAAAATTATACCAATAGGTCCACATTTTCATATAGTCGCCTTTATAGGTTATTTCCGATTTTAAACTTTTTACAGGTTTTAGGTCGCATTTATTAAACGATTCGTTTGTAATTTGCTATGTAGGCTTTCCAGGGCACAGATAACCTTCATACTAAAAATTATGCCAATAGGTCCACATATTCATATAGTCCCCTTTA